AAAAAAAAGGTTTGAACTCGAGACGTGTCTGACTTTTTCCATCCCTCCTGGAACATTTCCATATTTCCGTGAACGGTCTGGATGACCAATGTTGTGTCAATATTATGGGTGTTTTGATCTTGCTAAAAACGTGACAAACGAAAAACAGATTGTACCGATCAGAGGCCCCAAGCGGGTGGCGCAGTTGGATAAATTGCGATACAATGTGTCGAGGGTACTTAAACAACCGTTTAGTAACTGGGGTGATTTCCCTGCTAAAAAATATGCGGTCGCTGCACCAGTAACTTACTCAACGGATCATCAATGTGTGCGCGTGTCTGAGAAAAGGGTCCACAAGTGCAATGCTTTGCTTTTGTAGCTTATTGCATTTCTGCTTAGGATAACCTTTCTTTGTGATTCTTTGTTTTTTCTTATTTTTTTTAATGTTCAGATATCTCAAACAGTTTTGATTATATATATAGTCCCTTTTATGAGTGAGGGGAGCACCAACTTCATTTTAGTATGGGTAAAGTTTTACAGAGCTCCCAACTGCATAAGGTCATTTGAGAGCGCGGGACACATTAAACATTTTTACTTGGTGGGAAATTTTGAATTTTGCCCTGGTCGCGGCCAAAGCATACTCTTATCGATTTTTGGACCACCAAAGGATCTTTAACGTGCACAAATTGCACACGGGACCTCCGAGATTTTAGCCTTTATCCGAGAAGGCTAGGTGTAGATTTTTCCATAAGATCAGGAGTATGGGTGAAAGACAGCAGTAAAAAGGAGCCAAGAAGTAGCAGTAAAAATGTTGCAGAAAGAGTCAAGAGCCCAGAGGATGGGGCAAAGGGGTTAGGAGGTTGGGGCAGAAAGTGGAGACGAAAGCAGACGACAGAATATTGTTATAGAGCAACAAAAGGTGTGAAAACTGAAAATTTTAAAGAGCAAAATTCTCCGCGGCTATCTGGATTCGAACTCGGGACATATTGAATGAGAGGCGAACACCGTAAGCTCTAAGTCTCGAGAGCCTCCTACAGACGATAGACGTAGAATAAGAAATATAGAGAAAAGCACCCAGCAACCACCCATTTTCTTAGTGGGCCTGTGGCGCATGTATGGCTGGAAATGGACAGTGAAAGATAGAAAGATATGTGCAAACATCATAAGTGTACAGATGCGATTGGCGGAGAAGGACAAACAAACAGACTGCTTGCCAGGCGGGCGGGGGCGAGAGCACGCTCGCGCGCGCGCACACACACACACGCA